CCATCGCTTCTAGGTTGAAGGCCATTGCTATTGGGTTGGAGGCCATCACTTCTAGGTTGAAGGCCATTGCTATTGGGTTGGAGGCCATCGCTTCTAGGTTGAAGGCCATTGCTATTGGGTTGGAGGCCATCGCTTCTAGGTTGAAGGCCATTGCTATTGGGTTGGAGGCCATCGCTTCTAGGTTGAAGGCCATTGCTATTGGGTTGGAGGCCATCACTTCTAGGTTGAAGGCCATTGCTATTGGGTTGGAGGCCACCACTTCTAGGTTGAAGGCCATTGCTATTGGGTTGGAGGCCATCGCTTCTAGGTTGAAGGTCCTAGTGAACAAAAGAACCTGTTTATTTTAAACAGCTACTTTAGGCTGCAGCGCTCAGCCGGGCGTTGCCACTCCCACGAACCGAAGGGGCTCCGGGCGAATCGCCCTCGGATTCACCCACCAGCCTGGCGACGGTGACCATACTTGATCGGACATGGAAGAAACACGTGGTAGAAGAAACTGGTCAAATCAGGTCAAATCAATCCCAAGTGATACATGCTGACAAGTTATATATGGCTGCTGAACATGGTAGAAGATGTGTCAGCATCGTCATTCAGCAGAACTCATGAACCTGGGCCTTATGACTCCCTGGTGCGATCCATTCGCAGAAAAACCACCGAATGGTGTCCTGGTGTCCAAGGTTCATCAATACCCAGTGGGTACCAGGTGGGCCCGGAAGGCTCAGTGGAAATAGACGTGGGCTCAATGGACATTCAGCACCAAGGTATTCATACAGACCCTATACTAGGCCCTAAACCCTTGGCCTACCCCAGCTTTTGATACAAAACGACTCTTGTGCTCCAAGCCCGGACCGTTGCGCTCGTCATCGTTCGGTACTCAGGGGACCCCTCCTACCCGTCCGCACTGTGCTCCCGCACGTTGGGCAGCACGGCCCACCGAGCCCCGTCGCACAGTGAAGCAACCTTCCCCCCCCCCCACAGCCTTCAAACACGCGACGGCGACGGAGACCGGGGCTGACCTTGGCCTTAAATAGGAGCGATCGGACCCCCCAGCATGGCCCCTGTCCCTCCATGTCCCTCCACCTTACCCTTCACGTCCCTCCACCCGGCTCCGCGGTGCGTTCTCGCCGACGGCCCGGCTCGTCGCTCCTGGCGATGTCGTCGATGGAGGAGTCCACCGTCTCGGTGCCGTTGACGCCGATGACCTCGGAGCCACGGCGTCGCCGCGCGGGCGCGGTGGGGCGTGGGCGGTGAGGAGGGGGGGTGATGAGGGAGATGGGGAGGGGCGAGTTGTGAGAAGGTGGTGTTCTTCGTGTCGGTGACTCACCCAGTCCGGAGGCCTAGGCGCCCACGTCGGAGAACGGACGGTGACACGAAAAAAGGGGACACCTCGTCTCTAAAGCCGAAAAAGGGGCCCCTGGCCAGTTCGGAGTACTCTCGACCAAGAAGAGTACGGTCTTCTTCTGTCTTTGTCTCCCAGAGGCTGATTGGACCCTCATAGCTAGGGTTTTGACCCTCACAGCCAAGGCTTTTGGACCTCAAACATATAGGAGTTTGAGGCTCCATCAGCCTCTGGGCTTGAACCGTTCGGAGTACTCTCGTCGCTCGTTCCGCTTTGCGAAGCGGCTGAGACCCCCGGCCCGATCGCCCTCCAAGATCCACATGCCATCCTCCTCCTCCGTGACGCACACCTTCCTTGGGACGCCGCACGGTGAGACCGGAAACGAACCGAACGGTTGGACACGTAAGTGAGACCCGGCCAAACGGTGGGACACGTTGGAAAGGAAGAACCCACTTTCTTTCACATGAGACCTGCAAGAATGCGTTTCTGAAGACAGAAAGACGTTGGTTCGAACCCAAGCTGCGACCACGAATGGATCCACACATGATTATTTGATATTATTTGGTCAAAGTATGTCAAAGTCAAGTGTCTTTCAGAATGACATCGGAATTTATGGATGTTTATGTGTTGGTCAACTTCGATTTAGGGCTCGTTTTGCTATGTTCATTCTCTGTGTTGCCAGTCACCGTATTTTTGGCCGCTGACCGCTTACTTTCCTCTGCTTTCAAACGGGTGAAAGTCACATCCCCAACACTCTATTGATGACTTGCCCTGAGCCCTGCACAAGTTATGGCACTTTCTTTATGCTACTCAGCTGCTACTCCATTACTTCTTAGTAGCCAACCATACATCTTTGAAGGATGCCCGATGGCCAAGTGAAAAGTCTCAAACACCTTCCCCTAGTCTCCTCCCCCCCAAACATCATGAATACTGATGACTGTCAGACTGATCACTCGCCATTTTAGGTGCAAGATGGTGCAAGGTATTTTCCATTCATCTTGTCCGCTGGCCCAAATCACAAAGTGTGATCCCCCGAACACGGCGCAACACCCCAAAACACCTGCGAATGTCTGTGGGAATAACCTTGCGTGAGAGTGAAAGAAACGGGGGCTTGCTTCGTGTCAATGCGAAGTTGACTCGGAAAGCGGGAATCACTCCCGCTTGCCACCAAAGACATCGACCGAATCCTTGTCTTCCATGATCCGACACGCGAAGACATAGCGCGTAAGCCGCTCTGAGATGGAGTTCGGGCGAGGCGGATCGCTCGGGTCGTCTCGCCCAAGGCGCTTGTTGAGCTCATAAGCATTGCCATCTTGGACCACCTCGCTGATGCCCACGCCTGATCGCCGGTCGCATGGTCTGCGCAGAGCGCGTCTCGAAGTGGTTGGGACGACTGTTCTGAAGGGGACCTCCTCATGAAACCGAAAGTCCACAAAAACTTGCTCCGTGTTTCAACCACTGGCTATGGGGAGGTGCAACATTGCCATTGCTGTCAGGTGCCGCCTCTCCGAAAAGCCTCTCCCCAGCGGTCTTGGCTCATAGGTGCAGGGAACTACCTTGTTGAAACATTGTTCATCCCCATGTGCCCATGTGCCAAAAAAAACTCAGTGTGCTGCCGTCACCTATAATCCTGGATTGCATTGCGCAGATATGCAATCCCTTCGCTGGGACACGCGGATCGGTGCCCCTTTGGCACCGTCGAGTCCATCTCTATCCAATCCCTCTGGGCACCCCCGACCACGGAAGCCACCTGCAGATCGGTCACCGCTCGACGTTCCCTCCCAAACGGACGCCCTGGTCGTGGTCGGTGCATACCCGGTGACCGTTGTGGCCGTGGTGGTCGTAGCCGCTACGTCTTCGGTCTGAAACGAGATCGTTCGAACCGGTAGTCACGGCCCAACGCGGTGCGCATGGAGGTTAGGCCCCTGTCATCCACGGCCCCTGTCGTCCCATCACCCCGACAGACCCCGTTCGAAGGGTCGCCCGGTGTCAACACGTCGTCCCATCGCCCACAGCGTGACGCAGCGCACAGTGCTGCTGCGACGCTTTTTGGTAAGCACTGTAGAGGGAAGTGGAGATCTGAACTACAGAAGTTCTGCAGAACAGAATGTCAGGTTAAAACCTGCAAACGGCTTTTCTTCAGCATGGTATAGCCTTAAGGTCTGCAAAAAAGTCCCATTGAGGCAACCTAATCGTAGAAACTTCCTGAGCTTGATGCTTGAAGAGCATACCAAAATGCATCCGTTCGACCATTTAATAAAGGGGAAAGACGTGCGTTGTGTAAAGTCCTTAGTAAAAGGATGGCTGTTCCGTACAACACATTAAATCAATGGTTGTCTGGTGTGGCAACGGTTGACACACCTCGATCTCCAACCACTGGCCGTCCGAACTGGTGTTGAATTAGAGATTCGAGGAATGCCCCTAAACCGCCCGTCTAAACCCATCTAAACCCTGTCCTTCACTTTCGATACCTTAGGTCCAGGTCCAGGCACCCTCATTCCTGACGACTCGCACCTGTCAGTGAATCCGTGTTCGATAGCGCCCGAAAAAGAGACTGTCCGAAGGCTCTGCAAGAGAAACATCACCAAGTCGCTCACGAAACGCACAAACGTCATGGTGCATGTAAAATCATGTAAACAATCCAACTCTCCGGTCCTTACAAGAATCCAACCACGGTATCAAGAATCAACTGCATCCATTTGTCCCTGATCCATCCTGATCCAACATGATCCAACTACCAGGACCTTCCAACAGGTGGTTTTTTGGACACCCCTTAATCACTAAGAGGCTATTTATAGACACCTCTTGGTGTCGGTCCTGGTATCTAAATCATGTTTCTGTCATCTTTCACTCATTTCGTCTTCGCCTGGCGCGGTTCACGGGCTTGGTCACGAGGGCTCGAGAAACCCATGTCGTGAACGGAGGGTCGGTCCTCGTCATGTGACACGTTCCAAGCGAAAAACAACAGCCTTCAACCCAAGAAATCCCTCGTTGGCAGCGCAAACCCTACACCTCCAGTCGTACCTCCTCAGAAGGTATTTAGACCCTCCTGGCACCCATCCCAGTCCCACCTTCTCAGGTTCGGTACGACTGGAGGCATAGCGCAGAAAACACCGGAAAACCATGGGCTCTTCGCTCCGCTTCGCTTCCAACGGTCAACGCCAGAAACCGGTTTCAGGATGGATTCAGGACGACCCCCCTGAATCGTTCGCCTGCGGAAAACCAACAAACCGTCATGTGCGACACGTTCCAACGACACGGTGTCCCCAACGACACGGTGTCTCCCAACCCCCAACAAAAACCACTCACCTCCGTCCGGACCGTGCGGAGTCCGTTCCTCCGGGACTCCGCTTCCGGGAATCCGCCGCTCGACGCGGGGGAACGGGGGGCGCCTTTCTTGTCGGGCAAATATTCCAAGACCAATCCCATGGGCTTCTTCACTGTGACGTCGAAGATGGCTCGGTCTCCACCTCGTTTTCGGGGTGACCGCGATCGATTGACATGAGAACGCGAGAAAAAATAGCGTCTGATAATAAACACTATTAAGTGTTTTTCTCTGTACATGACATATAAGTCCAGATGTTCAGGCTTAAGTCTAAGTCATGACAGAAACAACCAAGTCAGGAAAGACAACAAAAGGAAGCCTATGGGAGTGAGAAAGAGTTCTTTAACGAAGGGTTGCCCAAACCCTAGAAGTCCAGTTCGACTATATTTTGACCGGCTGAAGTAAAGGAAGTTCCCTTTCAGGTCCCCTAAAGACAACGCTTTTTTAGTCTTTGACTCCCAGGGCAAAGGAACTGCGAGTCTGCGTGCCATCAAGTTCTTGGCACTGCTCGGAATTATCATGGACAAAAAGCTATCCCAAACTTCTGGACATTCTTGTTGAAAGAATATGAAAGAATAGTCCTTCTAAACCTCATTGCATTGCCATTCTATCATCTTCTCTGCCAGCTTCACTCCGGATCCACCATCTGCACGTCTGAACCCTTCTTGTTCCTTTTAAAGGCCTCTCAAATGAGCTAAACAGGTCTCATCTCCTCAAACAGAGGGCTTTGGGATTGGAGATTCTTCTCTTTCTTCGCCTCCCAAAAGAGATGGCGGAATCTCTTCAGCTTCGGTCAACAGATCGGTGGGATTCGCGGCTGAACCAGACCCCTCCAGGGTTCGCCCGTTCCCTCAGGGTTCGCCCGTGTCCGCGCTGAAGAAAGACATGGGTCACCAATTTCAATACCCGGCCTACACCCTAAGAATCCGGGCTCCTTCACCAACACATCAGGTTTGGTTTGGTCCCCTGCGAATAGAATTCTTACGCTAGGGGGACCAAAGGATTCTTACGCATAGAATGGTGAATTAAATTCCAGTAGCGAACACATTAGCTTTGGGCCCAAGGATTCTTACGCTACTAGGTCCTTTCATTCGAGATCAGGGCACGAGACCTTGATCCTGCCTCCTCCCCCTGGGCCGATGCGGCACGGACCAGGCGTCCCGGGCTGATGCGCTTCACCTTGCGGAACCACTCCACCCTGGCGACGCGGGACGCGGCGGCCAGGCGTGGTGCGTCCAGGCGTGGTGCGTGGCAGCGGGGAACGTCCGGACGTGGACGGACTCGAGATGTCTGAAGGAGTTCAATGGAAGGTCTCACGAAATGGAAGGTCCTGACTTCCAAGGACCAGACGAACGGCACTGGACAAGTTCGAAGCGAAGCGAAGCGAAGGGAAGGGAACTCCTGTTCGAAGGAGTGGAGAAGGCAACACCCTTCGAGGGTTAAAGGTTGTCTGTCCTCTCGCGAACGATAGGATTTTGGGATCGTCGGTTTGGGAGTTACCACAGGGACATGAGTACATGGGGGGTGGGTGGTTCACACAGCACCAGTAAAGCAAAGGGTTTGAAAGAGCATTCCAAACCAACATCTTCATCGACGGAAAACGACAGACCTTCAAACACAGCCCTTTTCCCCAAACTGCAATGCGGATCCCAAGCTGCACCCGATCATGCCAATGCTGAGGACAGTCAATTTCAACCAGCTGTAGGGTTGGTGCGTCAATCTGACAAGAACATAAAGACACTCATCAAGACATCAAGGACCTTGGAAGGACCTTTAAGAAAACACACCAAATCTACATGATTCCCAACTTGAAGCCACCCGAAGCACCCTCCAACTCCATCCGGTCTTCGTCTTCGTCTTCGAAGGTTTCGGTTTCCGCGCTGCGCTGTGCCTCGTGGCGCGCAGGGCCACGGAACTTGGGCTCCCATGTCGTCGCAGGAGTGCCTGAGGCAAACCCTTTTTCAGTGCAGCATCAGTTTGTCAAAGAGTTTAAAACACCTTTAAAGATGCATGGGGCTGGAACGAGACCCTTTGTCAGGTTTCATTGGCGTCTATGTCTTGTGATTCCTTTGTTGTTTCTGGATAGGCTGCAGTCTTCCTAGTTCCATCAAGCTTTTCGAGGAAACGCATTGAAGCCGTGGTGGCCTTTTGCCATACTGACCCGGAGAAGCTGATGAGGTGAAGCAAATCAACGTCGCAATCATTTTGCCATTGCTTAGTTACTTTCCATTTCACAGAATAAATTGTGACTCTGTGACTCTGTGGTTCTAGATCATTTGTTCGGATGAAAATGGATGAAGCATAAAAAGACCCATGTCTGGATGTTTTCGGCAACAGTCCACAACCTCCACTCGTCCGGTGACCTTCACTCGTGTGGGGCGACGGAGATTCAGATGGCCAGGTGGTTGAAACCACCCTAGGCTTCCTTTCCCACCATTAAGCTCTAGAAGTCTAGGGTATATGTTTTTTTCCAGGATTTCACGTGGATTCGATGGTCCACGTCACGACATCATCAGGGAGTGTCTCTCGAAAGGCATCCTGAAAATTCCTTTTAAGTGAGCTTTAGCTGCCAAGCAGGACGCAATCTGCAATCTGCAAAGCTTGGCAATTGGTCATTCTTCCGGCTGGATGCTCTTGGGCATGTTTTTAATGCGCTTGTGGGTCACTCAATGCCAGTTTCAGCAATATCAATCGTGTTTGGGGCGTTTCCACTTCAACCAACTGGTCCTTTCAAATTCGAAGCACCAAGCAAACTGTTCAGCAAACTTTTCGTAACCTTTTGCCTAGCCCGTCCAACCCTCCCCAACCCATCCAAGCTGGGATGCCACGGAGGCAGCACCCAGGGCCAACATGCCACTGGTGGCCAGGCCCCATCCACCGGCGCCCAGCTCCGCGCCCTGAAAGGAACGGGTGCGACGACACTCGGATTGGGAGATGCTGTGAAGAGATGCCTAGAAGTGCCAGAAACGAGTTCTTTGGGGACCAGCAACGTGTGAGATTTGTGCAGGCAGTTCTTTGGAGATGACATCATCTTCTGGTCACTGAAAGATCATTTGATGACATCGTCTTAAAGACCTCCCAGGGGGAAGGATCAAAAGGAGGCCAAAAAAAGGGAAGAACTGCGACCACCTGACACATGGATCAGATCGGCAGAGACCGTAACATGCCGAACAACTGCCGTCCTCCAGCCCCTCCCGCCCCTCCTCCAGCTTCGATGCACTTCCCATCGGAGCACCTGACGTTCGCCGAGCGCGAGTTCGGCGCTCGAGGCCGGCGCCCCGCGGGACCGTCTCGTGCGGTCCAGTGGCAGGGATCTGCGGCAGACACCGGCAGCAGAAAGCCTTGGAATCCGTTTTTTCGCTGCGGAGCGGAGCGTCGCCCGTGTTCTTCACTCCCCAAGTCGCAATGCTTTGTTGACACCCACCAGCAACCAAGAGTTCTCAACTCACCCAAACTCTATCCTGCCTCAAGTCGTGGTCCAAGTTCAGAGATCCCACTGATCCCGACCAAACCCCTAGACGCGACTAGGACACATAGACGAGACATAGACAGCGACGACGAGCGGTGAGTCTGTTGGATCCTGTGAGCCGAAAGAGCGGTGAAATTCGGAAACCGATGAACCTGATTGGACCGACCCGTACTTGAAGTCCCAGGAACCGACGATCCGACGATGGAAGGCATCATCATATCATCCATTCTGAAGGACATGAGCCGAGTTCTACTCGGGATCACCGGCCTTCTATAAGCCAGACACTCCATGGGACTGCAATCTATGCCTACATTGACCCCCAAAACCACCCCAATGTAGGCATATGGCATACATGGAGTGTCTGGGTAAGCCTTGACCGTTTAAAACGTCGAACAACGGACCTCCCACGGGGGGGACAAACACATCGAACGACCCAACGGACTCGCGTTCCGCTGCGCGAAAACCGGTCGTTCGGACGTACATCCGGTCCTCACCTCCACGGAGACTGGGACGGGCCAGGTTCGACTGGGCGCCTGAAAGGTTCGACGGGCCGATTTGGGTCCGTTCAGTGATGAAACAAGCTCCTTAAGCTAGGGATCTAATGTTAATAAACTCCCCTCAATTTGAATTGGGCACTCGTCTTCATCGAAGGTTTATTCATCAGTCTGCATCTGATCTTTTGTCTGTCATGGCTGCTGGCCCAAATCAGCAAAATCCTGGTTGCCGGTGGAAGAAACTGGAGACAAGACGTTTCTATATTCGGTCTATGCCGCGGTCTCAGTCACAGTAAATTGACGACCACGTTCAACAAAAACGTGATTTGCGACCGTTTGTTGCACTGTTAGAGGTCATGGGGACACACCCAACTGACTGTTGCGTCTACCAGGACCCTCCAACAGGCTGTTAGTTGAGGGTTGTTGGACCCTAACTGGTCTCAATTGGTGACCTGTCGAAAATTCCTACTATTTGCTTTGAGTTTCTGCTTTCATGGGACGGCTGTTTGTCATTAAGATTCGTCTCTGTTCTAAGACTGGATTGGCTGTCGTCCGACTTGGGTCCATACTCAATTTGTGGATGGTTCAAGTTGGATGTGCGGACCAAAACATTAAAACATGGATACTTGGTTACACATTTTGCGCGTCGCCAGCAGGCATGGAGAAACGTGAGCTATGCTGCGTCCAATATGAAGTAGCTTTCTATTCCCAGTAGCTTACCTCCCTTATACTTAATCAATTAGGCGCCTACGTAATGAAGTAAGGGCGGGCGAAACAAAAACATCCATCCAGTGGTTCAACACACGAGACCCGAAAACTTGTTGGGGTTGGATCTCCCTTCTTCCCATAGCGTCGACTCGTCCTCGAGGTCATTCTCCCCGCGGAGAAAAGATACGCCAGCGGTGAGGATGAGGTGAGACGGAAACTCTTGTGGATACCCAGGTGTTGTATACCGCGTAGCCCCTGCAAGAGTACCCACACAAAGGGCAAGAACAAGTCTATGGTAGCAGTGCGTTGCTCTTGCTCCGCGCAAAAACCCACAAAAGCACCGATGGAGCATTGTGGTGGGGTTGGCTGGTACCTTCTTTTCAAAGCTATATCTCATCTGGCTTCCCCCTCCAGACTCCAGTGCAACCACCTGTAGCAAGAATCTGCGATTTCTGTTTGAATGCCCCTCCCAAACAGGAACTGACAGCTTGATGAACTCTCCCAGAATCCCTGAACATGCTGTCCACAGTTCAATTGCAATGTGTTCTCCTAGAAACATGTGCCTACGAAACATGAACTGTAGCTCTTGTGAGCTTGTGCATCAATTCATCTCCCACTGATGCTGTTCCCAACAGCAACACCTTCTCTCCACAAAGTGTTGTCCAGTATATATTATATATATAGTGTTTCCAAGGTGCCTGGTAGTTCTCGTCCATTCAACAAACATCAAGAATCCTTGGTGCCACATCCGCCTCAACAAAACCGAGCCGCCACATCCACGCCTGGCACGAAGCTCAAGCTTCTCAGAGCCGCCACAAGGAGGGCTGCCAGGGCCACCTGTGATCTGTGATCTGCTCAACGAGTTTCAAATCACCCCGTAACCAGTTGGGTAGAAGACATCTGAACTCGAGGATGGAGCCGCCATCCCCCACCGAACCATCCATGGAAAGGAACTCGGAGCTCGGAGTTGAGTCAGAAGATTTCGACATGTTGCAGGCTTTAGACTTGAGAAGTGTTGCTGTTGTTGCTGTTGCTGCTGCTGCTGTTGTTGTTGTTCTCCAACTGACTTGGGTGACCCAGGAATCGCCAGCTTCTCGCCCACGACAGGGGGGAAAATCGACTCCTAGCTTCCGACTTGTCAGACGAGCTCAGTCTTAGGGGGACCGAGTCTCCCCATTAACAATCCCCTGGGTTGGAAGGGAAATAGACCAGTCTACCCAGGGGCCAGGGAGTCTCCAGTCATATGAGAAACATCTGGGTCTCTACCGTGGCCCTGTAGTCATGGAGTGTTGCTGAAAAAGTGGGCTCGCACACCATTGGATACCGAACATGTCGACGATTGCATGGGCCAGCGCGGGAACAAACACAATCGAGACAAGCTTGGGAGAACGCATTCTTCTCAAGAAACCATTGCACAATTAGTGCTACATGCCCCCATTCCAACAGAGATTCAGCCCGCTTCAACAGCTTCAACCATCAGTGGTGTATTGTTTGGAGGGAGCTTCCAACTTCCAGGTGATCTTCACCCCACAAAAGACAGGGACTTTTGGGGTTCTGTGAATGTGGCCCATCTCCCGCCGCATGGTGAACACCTGGTGAACACCTGGTTGTCGGGCGAGGACGGTGAGTTACGGAACCGAGAATCGGACAGACGGAAGCTTCGTCGCTCGCCACATGCTTATATAGTCGTCGGTTTGGGAGGGATGGATGGAACGGTTCACCAATGGTTCTTTGCAGGGTTGCTTCTGTCGAAGCAATGCGTCGAAGCAAGTTGAATCAGCAGCGGCATGCGAACTGAATTGCAAAGACCCGTCGATTCGTCGATTCTTCTTTCCAAACACCTATAAAGTGATCCCGGAATAGATATCGAAACGGTGTTCAATGACATTTTTTAGTGGGGATCTACTATTTTCTATCATTCCCAAAGGATCAAAACAACTCTGGGGACGTCGGATTGCGGATGGGACGTCGGTTTCAAAAGCTGAGACCCCAGCAAGGTTCCACAAAGCTTCGACCCGTCGTGGTGACACCCCAGCCCCCCCACACAGTCTGGGCGCACATGTTTTCTAAGGAATGCTCGCACATGTTTGTTGAATCTCTTGAAGAGGTCCATGGAAAGCATCGTGTTGTACTTCTGTATCACTCGCTGGGACAAGTTCCCTCGATGACACATCCGGGCCACACGGGATATAGCACCTACAAAGCTCTCACCAGCCAGCAAAGAATAGTAGCGACAGTTCACTCTGCTGGACCTCACTTCGTGAAGAACATGAAGCATGTAGTGATGCTTAGGAGCTAGTTGCCATAAAGCTCTATTCCCAGCGTGTGCTCCGGTCACTCCAGCCGAACGTTTTCGCAGCCGAGCGTACGTTAAGAGATGCATGTGACCAGATCGAAAAATCTCATTGGCTTGCCCTTCTGTCAAAACAAGCGGACTCTGATCCAACAAGGTCAAAAACCGTCTGTATGCCAATGCTGTTGTAGCTACCAGCTCATCAAGTTCCGTCCGACCATTTCGAGTGGCAAAGGTTTTTGCCTCGTCAGCAAGCCAGTAAGAAAGCCTCTTGCCAGCGATCCCTTTGGAACTCAAACACGGAAAGTCTTGTCGGGAATGCCGGTTCACGCGGGAGCAGGTGAACCGTGCCTGCGTCGAAATAACTTTGTTCAGCTTCTTCCAAGCCCCAAATTTCACAAAGGCCCTGTTCAACTGCTGCTGAAGCATGTGTGGATAGCGACCCCGTGACATCTCACCAAAAGCCCCCCGACTCACATAGATATACAAGCACTGATCCTGAGGAGGGTTGAAACAATAGCTTGTTTGCAGGTCAAGTACATGTTAAACTATGGCATTTAAAAGTAAAAACCTTCGAATCATATAGCTGCGGTTCCATTCAGCAGTTTGCCCGTCCCCAAGAGTTGTCCGTGTAGAACATCGTGAAGAAACCGGTGAACATGAAATCCAGGGATTTGCGATGTGATGGATCCTGCAACGTACAAAACTAAAATTAATATACATAGCTCTAGATACAAAGACGAGCTCCAACACACACACACACGCACAAAAAAGAAAGACTATGTGCTGCCCTTACAAGCAAGCTGCTGTTTAACGGTGTAGTTCGACGAAGGTACTCAGCGTGTGTCACCAAAGTTCTGCGATGAGCAGCTTCCTCACGCATATCTCCAAGAGTCATACTTACATCCGCATGAGTTTTCTGACAATCACAGAAAGTACAGAACTCATTGTTGAGATAGGGCTGGACATAGTGCTTTTGCAGAAGGAACTTCAGGTCCCCCTGGTTGCTGGAGAACATGAATTGGTATTGATCGCTCCATGGAAACCTTTCAACTGGATCAACCATCCGGGTAATCCTCTTCCCAACTTCACCCATAATGTCTTCATAAGTGAAATCGGATGCAGTGTAATCCGAATAGGTTGTAAGAAGAAGGTACCTGTTAATAGCAGTCCTGTGGTAAGCAAAGTCACTTGTCCAACCCAAGACAACAATTGTTCCAACTTCGGAGTTCCGGTATGTGTTCACCTCGTCACCATACGTCGACAATGGGATCAAGCAGTCACGACGCGGAAAGGTAAACATTGGATGCTCCCTGAACCACTCAGCACCACTGTTAGCCACATGGTCCCAATATTCTTTCACTTGGCCACGTGTCATGGTTCCAAAGAAGATAAATTCAAACACTCGTGGCCCAAGCTCCCACAATGCCATGGCCATCTTGTCTGGCATCACAATCGGCAGCTCGGTGGTATTGATGCATGCATTTTTGTGATCCCACATTCGAACTCGGATTCGCTCCACTTCAGGTTTCAAGTGACAAAGTTTGTCGAGCACACCATGCAAGTCCCTTTCAGCGTTCGAAGGGTTCTTCCCAGACGTCCCTATTCTAGCCAGTTTGCTAATCATGTGCTGTTGTGGAACGTAGGCACCCAAGCTAGTGCACAAAGAGATTGCTGCATCTGCAAGTTGTTGTACCTTAAGTGTGGGAACTGGGAACTGAACTATGTTGAGTCACTGATGGTCATTGATGTTGAGGGCTAAAAGAAGAACGAAAACCTTTTGTCGAATGTGACCAGCTTCTTTGATGGCTGAGCTTTTGCCCGAAGAAAAGTCATCTAAAAGCAAGCGCCAAAACTGCTCTCCCTGCTCATCCGAGGCAGTCAAGGTTGGCCGCTTTGGTGGAGCAGCAGCAATTGAAGAGTCCTGGCCGCAGGCGCAAATCGAGGGCATAGCACGTGAAGCATTTCACGATGTGGACCATGAGGCATGACTTGATCACAAGACGGTTGAACCACTGTTGCCACTTTCTTACATGGCCCACAAACAGTTACCAGCCTCGGCCGGCAAAGGAACATCACCAGCACTGCTGCAGGCTCTGCTACGAAGCCCTGCCACGTTGAGATCATATCAACGGAACCATGTGATGAATGAACAGGGTCCCAACAGGTAGAAACACATCGAAAATCTAGGGCATATTTTTCATTCTCGCATTGGTATCCTGCAGCATGTGTGGCATTCCAACATGCTATAGATCAGAACCTTCGCCCGCAGGATGGCAGCACATGATAAAGTTCAGTGTAACCACACGCATAGCAATTTCAATTTCATGATCGTATAAAAACCTGCGCGGGATGAATTGGCTTTCAATCCCCTGGTCTCACAGCAGACTCAACCTAACCACCGTGAGGCGGCCATTTTGGCCAACACATGTCATACATGTGCTTCCCCTAATAGGTCAAAACAAGCTTTGCTACACATGATGGTAGGCTCAGCCAACACTTTAGCTAGCAAGCTCACCGTCATCTTTGGAATCCTTATTGGACTTGGCATCCTTTTTCTTCAGGGGCCTCAACACCTGATTTGCTACAGCGGCATCTTCGTCAAACATTTTCAATCGGTCCACGGCCAGACGAACTGCTGCGCAACAGGCTTCCGGGTTGAAGTTGCCTTCTGATTCCTGCACGAAGCCAGAGCGAGATGGAATGTGACTAGGCATAGGTTACAAGAACTGCAAACACAAAAAAACGAGAATCACATAGAATAACTCCTTGTACTCTCCATGGACAAACTGCTGAATCTGGAAGTATGAAGTCTCGATTTCAACTGCGTGTGTGCACAGTGTCTTTCCTAAGATGTTAACGTCTTTTTTTTTGGTTCTCTGTCATCCACCATGAAAACAAAACATCGAACAGACGAGCTTCTCAAAACCTCTTGATGTTTCAGACTCGTCAACTTCACTGGCAGAATCTTGGCGGTGGTCAAAGCAGTCGTCAATCTTGGCAGCAGCCAACGAGCAGCAGCAAGCGGTTCTTCCAAAGGATCCGGCATTGGCCTATAGCATAGTGAGCACACAAGCTTTTATATGTCTCCGTACAGTGTCTCTTTTTGTACGCATGCCCAAAAGCAGGATCGAGAAACAAAAGCTTCAGCTGAGAAGCAGTTTCTTTTTGGGAATTGGCTTGTCCGGCTTGTCCTCTTCCTCCTGGTCCTTGCCCTTATCTTTGTCTTTGTTACCTTTGCCTTTTCTATCTTTGCCATCTTTGCCTCTACCCTGCCCCTCACCACCACCTCCCACAGCCAACACGCCCCCCACTCCGTTGTTCACACCCATATCCGGCAATGTGAGCATGTTCTGCAAGTTCGCAGCAGAAGCGAAAGTCTGCGAAGCCTCCCAGAAGAATCAAACTATATAGGTGTGCATACATTATTTTGGGAAAACCGTGAGCACGCCTCACTTCCGGCTTCTACTGTCGTGGACAAGCGTTGGCTGATTGCATCGGCTGTCTCTTGCTCTGACACATTGCACATATCCAGCAAAACCTTGGGTTGAAACCAGATATGCATGTAGATGCAAGATTCAAAGGTTCAAACAACAAAAGATGCATAACCCGGTTTGTTTTGTTTCGGTTTTTGCGCAAAAACCTGAATCCGTATACAAACAACAAAAGATGAATAACCCTACGTATTATATGCCTAGTATGCATACAGATACACACAGCAGTTTTGGAAATTATCTGTGAGCACTAGGGACGTAATACAGCCTCATTGACTCATCACCTGGCATGTCAGGATGATCCCTGACCAACCCAAGCTGGGTTTTCCTCCTGATAATCGTGTTCACGGTGTCCTGGTTTCCATGATACATCACGAGCAGCTGGTCCCGCGTTCTCCATCCTAGGACACAAGTAAAATTATATTTAAACATGCGTTCATGAACTCAGGGCATATGTACATATTTCAGGGTGTGGCCTTCTTTGCGTCGACCGATGTCGCGATCAATCTGGGTCCTCTGGACGTCCACAGTTAACCTTAGTTTACCATATCTTTGTAGATTGCTCCTATTGCACCGCAGGCATTGGAAAAACTTAAGTGTGCAAACATCACTTTGTCAGTGCTTGCGCGTGACATTCCCCAATCTCCTCCAGCCTTTAACCAAGTGTTGAAGAGTTGGTTCTTTGCCGTTTTCGACTTGCTTTTACAGGCTGCAGCCCATGCTGTTGTCAAAGACTCTGGAACCGGAGTAGGAGTGGCAGTTTCCCCAGTGATTTGCCTGATGCACATAACGAACAGGGTGTACGCACGCTTCAATCTATCTTATAATATACTATAACTATATGAAACTTGCAAGCATGCACACAAGCACAGGATGGGCTGGTGCCTTTTGAACTTAACGAACAAAGCTTGGCGCCCGTTGTAGTCGTCATACCCCAAAGGAGTAGCCTTACGTGTATTGGCCGCACATGGCAAAAACATATAGTTTTGCAAGCAAACCTTAAGCAATACAAATGAGCAACCCCCTGTAGAATGGCAATGTCAGGAAGATCAGGCGACTTCTTCAAGATGCCTGTGGGTGCAGCTGCCTTGGCTGCGCTTGCTGGACTGGATGCATCTGCCTTGGCTGCGCTTGCTGGAGCAGCTGTGTGTGCTGGTGCTGTGCCTTTCCTGTCTCTGGAACTGCCTGGCTGTGGTGTATCTGGAGGTGTTGCAAAGCTAACACGGCGTGTGTCGGGCTTCCTGCTTGAGTGTGGTTCTGCTTGAACAGGTCCAGAGGTTGCGTCATCAGCTTCCAAGTCAATGACAACTCTGCTTGCAGCTGGGGCGGGCTTCGCCCAAACAGCTGCCGGCATGTCACTTGGGATGACCGCGTGACGGGGAGTGCTGGTCACTGTGGAAGGCGTAGGTGGTGTGTGGACACCTGAGCTTGCAAGAGCTACCTTTGCTTTCGGTGGTGATGGTGCCACTGTTCCTGAGGCCTTTGATGCCACTGGTTCTGTTACACTTGGCGGCGCTGCTTTTGCTGGCACGGAAAGTGACGGTGCCAAAATGGGAGGCATGGTTTTGGCTCTGCTGGGAGTTGGGACTGGCACTGACGGTAAGGCTTCATGCTTGACTCCCTTTGTGTCAGTCTCAGGATCAGAGAGAGAATCATCCCAAGTCTCTGTCGACCCTCGTTGGAAGATGACGTTGGCACACGGGCTGACCATTTCCTCTCGGAAAGGCGTGTCATGAATCAAGTTTTGCAGCACTGCTGCAAGACTGGCTTCCTCACTTGGTAGGTCCTCTGGATTCTGGAGGCCCTTCAACGCACGAAAGTCCAGAAGAGCCTCCATACCCTCGCAAGTTGTGGCTGGTGTGGCATGAATGGGCTCTGGCTTGCAACTGGGCCGCGTGATCCTGACAAGCGGAGATGACTTTGGCGGGGGTGGGGGGCATGCTTTGGGCAGGCCTGGAGTGTAAGCATTCTTTGGCACAGCCCCTGAAGACACAGGCAAGGCTGGGCATGCACCAGCCATCAGGGGGGGGTGCGCTTGGTGACTTGCAAGCTGTTTGCTTGGGAGGTGGGGGAGGCATGATGGTTTTGGCCTTCACGTTCATGGATCCTTCTGGGGTCATGCACAAAGGCCTCAACCGTTTCAATTGTCGTACACCAGAATGCTCTGTCTTTGTTGTTTGCAATGCGCTGCTGCTGCTTGCAGTGATTGCTGGAGGTGGGGTGGGTGTACGCGCCTTTTTGTGCGATGTGGACTGGTCAGTAAGCTCTGGCTCATGCTTCACTGTCGGTCGTGGGTTGCTGGCTGCAGGCAAGGCAGTTGCGGCAGGCATCTCGATAGAAGGCAGATCATGATAGGAAGAGGCTCTGCTGGGAATACTTGACCTGAAATACAAGGTGGTGACCCTGCTCCAACATGTGAGCCCAACGTATTACACAAACCAGTTAGACAAAGAAACGGAACCAAGGAAGCTGGCAAAGAACGCGGGCTGACATGCATCGAAGGTGTGCGACCATGATCATCCTGTCTCACAAAGACAAATATTGTGTTTTGTCATTTGCACACAATGCACCCGCACCATGTGCAGCAAGTATGTCCTGATCGTGTGGCGCAGCTTCGGTTTCCTGTGCATGCATGAACATATATCGAAAAAGCGCTGCATGCAAGACTAACAGACTCCAAAAAAAACATGTTGATCCTGCGAGTCCGTCCCAGGTGAATGGAACAGCTGGCGTTTCATTTGCGGCGTGGTCATCAACTCCGCTGGCTCTTCCTGCCGCCAAGGACGGGCGATAACACGATGCCACGATGCATTCATGGTGTGGGGGGCTAGATCGCCTTCATGCTCGGCGCACGTGACCGAAACATCTTCGCACCCTCTGATGTGATCGGACCATAGTGAACTTCCTGCAAGTTACATGACTCAAGCAAGACCCTCACGAGGTCATATGTAAAAATGCGGTCACACACACACATGTGCAGTCCTGTTTGTTTGCCATGGGCCAACAGAGTATATATAAAGCAAAAGCTTGTACACAAAATGGCTATTGATACCAAACAGCATCCAAAGATTGCCAAACCTATCCGACACCTATCCGACACCTATCCGACACCGGGATGTCATTTTAGATGTACTTTGAGACCCCGTCAGATACATCCGACACCTATCCGACACCTATCCGACAGTCCTGCAGGAGACACTCTTGATACATGGACATCGACTAGCGATCCAACAGGACTGATGTCAGCAAACACAGGTTGTTATATATAGAGTCAGATCTAGGTAGTCAGATAGCGTCGGTTGAGTGTCGGATAGCATCGGATGGCGTCGGATGGCGTCGGATGAAACATATCTAGATAGCTATATATAGGGATCATATGCAGCCAAGTATGTAGCTAGCTAGCTCGATATTAGCTATATAGCTGATAGATGATGGAGATATAAAGAAATTCCTTCAA